TCCTGTTAAGTAATCATCCAGTTGTCTTTTCACATCTGTGGTATCACTGTCAACAACACTACGCATTTGTAGCCTATTCAATTTCACCACTACTCATCTTTAGATAAGATAGCGTGCGCCCGCTCCTTTGGGGGCTGTTTTCTGTACAGTGAATGATGAATTAGCTCGCTAAGTCAGATACACAGAGCTCCAGCGAAATGTTCGGGGACTGGTGGTATGATGTTGTCCTATCCAAAAGACTTTACTGACTATTGTTTCGATCTTACATGAAGCCATTTTTGACTGATTTAGAAGGGAGCAATCACCACTTTGTAAGGTTGCAGCTTGGATTTCCATGGTAGGTGTTTACAGTTCTATTCGAGTCAATTGCGAAATACTAGGGATATCTCCAGATGGCTGGACGGCTATCCACTTTGGTTTTTCGAATCTCGCCACATGACTGGTAGAGTGAATCAACACAGATTCTTAGGATCAGATTCCGGTGCTCTGTCTATGTTGCTATGGAATACCTTACATAAACCTTCGTGTCGCACCAATTTCTTAGTGCTAGAAATATGATGTTGACTTACTGCTTCCTTGAGAGTTTCTATCTGAACAAGGGAATTCTTTTGACATTAAGGAGATACTCAGTGAACCCAAACCATAGCTTCTGTCATCTGTGGGAGCCTGGCTTTGCTGTGGTTGCACTTGGTTAGTTATTTTTTTGACAAACAAGCTGAGTACTGCTACACGATGATGTTTGCCGCTGACTAGCGGCTAATATGTTAATTCTCTATAAGCTGGTGATTGCAGGTAAGAAGGACATCTAACCTGAATGGTTTGGCGTGAACTCCTCTTCCCCCTAGTGTGTGTCGTAGAGCTCAGCTGTCATGATAGCTCTCAGTAAATCTCTACAGAGAAAATTTCATTTACGTTTCTCATCAGTGTTCAATGTTGATTTGGTTAGCGATAATGATACAGTCATGTTCTGTTCTAGTAAACATATGAATTATATGAATAACTAGTTACCTGTCTTGCATCTCACATGTCGGGGGCAGATAAATTTCATTGATAAGGAATCTCGTCAAATTTACAGTCATATGAGATCAAACTGACTGTGAAGTGTGGTTACCGCCACACTAGCGGCTAAATCCGAACGGATTCCATTTGTAGCTACCCCTTTGCTACACTTCAAGTTAATAATAATGATTATAGAAGGTACAAGAAGAAAGCGTACTGAGCTATGTCATTTTCTTTTTCTGGACATTTGGTTGTTGCAAGAAAATACTTCCCATCGCTCTTCAACCACTCAGGTATGGCTTTGCAGAGTTACTCTCCTTAGCAGCTACCGAGAAACGCTGGGATATAATTACTCATACTGTCTTTATTCTTACAACACACTTTGAGATCACGCAATGTATAAGGGTGTGAAGTTCGCTAAAGAGGACGCTAACCCCTACTGAAGATTTTGATCAGACAACCAATTCACTCTTGTTTGCGAGTTCAGCTGATCAGCTACAAGGGAATCTTACCACCATCAGTTTGCATGAAGGAAAACTAAATTTTCGTAGCTCAGCTATTGTAGAATGATTCCACTATCAAAAAGAATTAACAGAAGGACCATGACGTCATCATCGCAAATGAAGTGTGCCCCCTTATAGAAATTGCATTCAAAAACTACGTCATTTTTATATATCACTCGCTGCCGGGCGTTGTTTTCATCTCCACATTAAGTTATTCCACTTCATTTTTCTCCCCTTTCTCGTACTCCTTACTCTGACTCTACCGGTGAAATACTGTCACAGAACTCTACTAAAGTGTAGCATTTTCCTTCATTCAGTGGTACACAGACTTTCGAGGAATTAAAAGCCGTTCTAGAAACCTTCAGATTTCCGTATCAGTACTCAAATCACCATGCTTTCACTAAACATTTTGCTATAGGAGCCCTATAATTCTGTATAAAAGGGTGCAATTTTAAGGTAGTTGCATCTGGTTATGAACACCCTCACATCTTACGAATGGATATGAACATCTAGAAAGCTATTCAGGCATAAGTATATATTTCCCATTTCTGGAGGCTTTCTACCTTATATGATTCATTTGCTGCTTCAGCTGTTACCCACAACTACCAGTGTTTATGTGGACGTTAGTCACTGGATCAAATTAACATTCGTTAGTTTGCTAAACCAATTCGACAAACTACATATACATAGTTTGACTGCTGCACACATGGCCTATTCACAAAAGTCAACATACTGATGTTTCCATGAAAAAGGGGCAGTGATCGAATTAATCAAGATGTTCGTGCTCACACTGATCATAAGTTATTAATCGTTTACTTGCCAGAATTGTCGCATGTGGATGAAATTTCTGCCCGTGACGATGCAAGCAACTTTCACGCCGCTGTCTGGCACAGTGACACGTGCCTGACCAAACGAACCAGTGGCAATAGGTTTCACACTTTCTTTGGAACCTGAGTTTAAAATCTCAAACAGAATCTCGAAAATGATTTTCCGTATGAAATAAACTTGGCAATAAGATATGTGACATAGAAGGAAAATGAGCAGCTGTCGCAGGGCCTTCTTCGTTTTGATATGATACCATTGTCAAGTGCAGTAATTCATCTAATACTTTTGCAGTTAATTGGAGAAATCAACATTTATTGAGATAAACGTGTCATATTCACATAATGTTTTTATCCACATAAATTTGCTGACCGCTGGTGAGATGAATTCTTTATTTCAAAGCTGTGTGATGGACTTATTACGATGTTCCACTTGCATACCTTATGTTAGTGATCTGCATAGATTGTGAATGGCAGCTCTTCAAAGATATTTACCTGCAAAGTAGGCCACGTGTATTCCCCCACCAGAAGTACTGTGTTCCTCTAGACAAAATCTATAGCAGCTGATATTAGCAACTATAATATTACAGAGTAGCTTTATCACGATATATCTGTCACGATCTTAAAGGGGTCTTTTTTTAACAACTAACCAAACAATGTCTCCAAAATCTAGCTTCTTCTAAACTATTGGTTGTTTCCATTACTGTAGCAGTGGTTGAGTCTACCAGACATATCGTTGGCAGAATTGTTTACATCAATATATCCAGGGTGTCTTTCAAAAGAATCTAGAATCGAATGTTTCCTGACTGCCTCTGTCGCTGTCAAGACGGATTTTATACCACCTATACTCTTTCCCAAAGTAGCATTTCTATTGGCTGTCGCCGTATTCACACATCATTGAAAAACTGTATGCAGATACGCAGTTTCAGATGCCTATATCACAACTAATTCAACTTTATCTATATGAACAAACCGTTAAGCATAAAGTGCTTGCTGTACAGACCTTTAGAAGACTTGACCTGGATTTGTTACTCCCCGAATGCATTTAATCAGACTTAAGGGGATTTCGGACGACGGTAAGAGGAATTGCTGGGCTTGTTTGACCTAAGCATCTGCTGGATGGAGTTGCATAACTCTATCATTGCAGAATCCTTACTCAAAGTCTGTTCGGTAACTGAGTATATTTCGGTAACTGGCCGTTTAGTTATCTCTAGAATTTTATCTGCAGAGACAGCTAAGTCATCCATGAGAACACCCTGAAGTGTCACAAGTACAGTCTGAACTGACTGTGGCAGTTTGGATAAAATGAGTTCTCTGAACAGTCCTTCGTCGAACTGACTTTGGCCAATAATCTCTCTCATCCTTGCCAGCATTCTCACGGCTGACTGATCTCCTAACTCGATGTTACGAAATAATTCACCCAGACGCTGTTGATCCGTGAGAACGTTTCTCCTTAGGAGGGATGCTTTGAGCAGCTCGTACGAGTTACTCAACTCTGGACTCGACATCTGCAGAGTTACGCACCTGCTGAATTCCCGCGGTAGGGCGTGAATAACTGCAAGGAACTGCGAACGTTGATCGGTTATCCCATGTTCACAAAAATCGGACTCAGTTATCTGAAACCATGTTTCAGCATTATCTGGCCAATATGGTACTAGCTGAATTGTTTTGGCAGTTGAGCGAATACGAATAACCTTGGGGCTCCCAGTTTAGAGGCTGAAGGTATCGACGTTCGCGAATTGTACGGAGTATACTGACGCAAGATCTTATACCAACAACTTCTATAATATTCGTTTGTCGTGTAACAAAGACAAAGCAAAAGACCAGATTTAGTCGTGCAAAGTACGTGATATATTTCGGGACCAAATAGTAAACCATATCGATTGAATGCTTAGCTGGCTAGTGATCGTGCACGCACGTGACACGACGGAGTACCAAATGGCGAGAATGCTTGACCGGAAGCCTTCAGCTAAACAAGTCGACTTAAACAGTGGGGGTCAGCATCCAATGTTGAATGGTGATTGCTGTGGTCAATAATTTTGGGGAATTATTTACCGCTACAGACCAAAAGGAGTGGTAACCACAGTTTTTGGGGCATTATTTGGTTATGCTCGGACAAGATCAGTCTTTGGTAAAAATTTGCAGTTGTTAAAGAGATTAGCCAGTCATGCATACTTTTTCAGGAAACATGCCCAAAGATGATGACCATGGGCTGTTTTATGAGCGTATAATACCAAGTAACAGAAACTTATCTAGTCGTTATTACGTTAACTGAAATATTTCCAGATTCTATGAACGAAGTTTCAGTGTCACAGGTGGACCTTTTGACGTATTAGTTTGAGATGAACTGTGAAGTAATCCTTTCACACCACTTCAGGGAATTCCTTTGATAAGATATCGTATGTAGATGTGATGGGTGTCATACCAAGTCATTTTCAATAATGCAATAACTTGTGTTCCATTACAGAACGGTAGTATTAAAACCGATAAGCATATTCGTTTAGTCATTATGTCTATTATAAGGAATACATAAATAAAACAAATTTGTCTAACACTGCTAGTTGAAAAGTCCATTTACTCACTGCTTCACAACCTAGCGAGATAATTTTCATGTAGAGCCGTTAATCTATACATTTTTTACGACAGCTTAGTGTTTTACAAAAAGGTGTTAAGATATACAGCTCACTTATCTGATAGTCATTTTTTTTTCTAAACCATATTTGCATAAGATAGTTCAGTAATCATAAAATGGTGTAAAATAGAAGAGATAACTCAATTATTTCATTATTGAAATCTGCAACAAGTAAACGTTGAAGGCATGATTGAATTTGCAGGTATATAAATAACAACAGAGATAAAAATAATATGGAAAACAATCTTCAGAAGCAGAAAACAAAGTTCAGTTGTTAGATCACAATTAATTAATTAAACCTGAGAATCATTTGGATGAATGTTAAAATAAAATGTAAAAAAAGTCAAAGAAAAGTATTTCTTTTTTACGCTCAAGATGATTCTTCATTAATTGAACAACATTTCATTACTGCATTTTGACGTCGACGTAGATTCCAGTTAAGGCAGTAAGCTAGACCACAAAACCAATCTGTAACCTAGAGAATAAAAGGAGAAAATATACACACATTTTTACACATGAAAAGTATTGAGAAAATAGCAAGCATACTCGTGTAGCTAACAATCTCATGCAATGAGTATGGAATCCCAGTAAGATGATAATAGCTGACATATATTGTGAAAAGCTAAACTGTAACGACTGCTCTTTTGGTTAATATTATGTAAAGAGATAAAGAACATCGCATTAGGTACTAGCAGGGAAAACAAAACACATCAGTGGAGTTGACCACTGTTTTAGATCATTAAGTGAAGATAAGAGTAAAAATTATATTTGCTTGAGAACATTTGTCAAAGGCTGTAACTATCTCAGTTATGTAATCTCTCCACATACGCAAAACACTGATAACGTTGAAATATGTTCCTGTTTATACTAAAAATTTCATTTCTGGGTATAATCAACTCAAATAAAGAAAATAGAACAAACTAAAATGTATGCATTGGTCTCGAATTTCATTAGAAGACGTAAACTGTACGTATTTACTTATGCTAGATGTTCTTCAACAAAGGTTGTTTAATAGCCATAATTTGATAAAGTATGAAATTATGTATGGTTAAAGATATTCAAATGCGGTATTTGTAATTTGTTCATTACCAGTCATCAATAGACACATGGTAACTAGAAGACGGATACTTTGAGCGCTCAAAATCTCCAAAACCAATAAATCAGCTTAAGATTATTGCCAATTCAGTTTAACAAATAAATTACCCAGAAATAAAGCAACAGTCCTCAAATAAATTTAGATATATCTATTTATTTAAACTCATCGAAGAAGACATCACGAAGTGGTCGCGCTGTGTCGTGAATTGGCAGAAGTTAGAATTCATGGGCCATTGGATCGGGTCCCGGTGGTATACGAGCTCGCCTTGTAACCAGAAGGCCCTGGGTTCGAAACCCGATGGATGCGCACCGATGAAGAGTCCCAAGATAGGACGAAACAGCTGTCCAGTACTCCCAGGTTTTCCAAGGGTTCTCTAACTGATGTCAGCTCATGATGAAATTCTCCAATCAATCAAACAAAATCCCTATAAAAACCAATACTTGAAAATATATCTATTTATTTAAACAGGTAATATTGTGACAACAGAAGACAAAGGCCAGGCAACAGATCGTTTATTTAGGAAATCAACAGATATTTATAGTTTTTCATGTACATTATTATAGATTATTGTAAGCTAATAAACACAGTCTTCTGATTGGTGGTTTCTCACTGAACGTTAATCTTCCATCTCTTCGTAGCCGTTTATTGAAGTTCAGATTACCTATCTGCAAATTGTATCCGCCTGCGCAAAGTCTGCTGTGATTGGTTATTGAATCAGTCTTTATTCTTATTTTTCTCACGACCAATATTGGGGACGTAAACACTGATGTAAATTACTATCTACCAATTTGGCTAGCAGCCAGTTCTCGCCACAATATAATCGGCGTTTATGTAAACCGTGCAATTAAGAGTCAGTCATATGCACTTTTAATAAAGCATTGTGATAATAATAACAACAGTCAATAGCTTTGTTCTGGAGAAAATAAATACGCAATATACAGGATTCTCAGAGTAGTATTTCGCATAATACTTTCTCTTCATCCAAGATCTCCTAGTAAAATAGTAATCTATAGTATATCATGACATAATGATGCTCGATTTTAGTATAAACTAATCCCTCATGACATTTGCTCTTCATCTCGGATGCTCACCAGTAATTTGAAAGCTAATCGAAGCATAGCTGAATAGTTATAAAAATAAGAATAAGAGGAAATGTGATGCATTGAGTTGAACGGCAATTCAAGTAATCCAGTGATTTAAGCAGGCCGCCAGTTTATGCATACATCACATAGGTAGTTGAAACTGAAATGAGTTAAATTTCCTGAAACGATATCAATTACGCAGACAGACAGAAGTATTAAGACATTTCCGTTTCATTTTAACACAAACTTGTTTTTTCCAGAATTAAAATATAAGGAGTATTTTAATATTACAATAAAATAATCATGACGAAAGTGTTTACCTGGTTTTCGCTGCAAAGACATGGAATAGGGTAAGGTGAAGCACTAACTGTGATAACATCACCTTTATGCAATAGATTTGAGTGCCGTGAGCGTCCATCAAAAGAAAAGTGTACAGCTGAACAACGAGCCTTGCTAGCAATAGAGATTTCTAGCTTTATAGAGGTAGGAAGAACAATAGCACGTGAACTTAAAGCTAATGAATTGATTGGTGTTAAAACTAGAGCCGGTACACATGGATGTACCATACTAGCACCAGCAGTCATGGAATAAGCTGTGCTTCCAGTAGGAGTGCTTACAATAAGACCTAGAAAGTAAAATAAAGCAGTATTTACGTATAAATGAAATACATTAATGATGAATAAACAGATGAAACTAATTACAATTTATTAAAATTCGCCCTTCACAGGGATGACAAAATCGTGGAATAAGGATAACTGTACTGTTATTTCAATGCACTTGTTAGAATAATAAAATGTTTTAAAGAAATAAACTGGTTGACAAAGAGTTAGAAATTGAGATCAGTGTGTATACCGAGTGGAATGTAAACAAAAAGCATGAAATTTCTAATGCTGGATTAAAATATGAACAACGTAATCTTTATTCTCCAGTTTACCACTTGTATCTTCCTATCTAAAAATCAAAACATAACGAAGATTAAAACAGTTTTCAAAAATACCTTCTTCAACAACATCATTTTGAATAAAGACAACAAATCTTCCATTACTCATTTAAGTACAATTTCAATCTGACTTACCTTTTGCCAATGATTAAATTGCCACTTATGATTTCTTTTCAAACTAAGCAACAACTTATACTGCAAATCTTTGGGCTATTTTAGTATGGCTAACAAGCCTGATTACACGTCTACAACTTGAGCTTTAATTAGTGTCGTTCATACGAACAGTAACACCAAAGATAAGATTACCTTATTGTTTAGTGCAATATTTTTGAACTCTGTATTTAATTACTAATCAGTGTAGTGTCATAAGTAATGATTAATAACACCTGATTATCATACAGTAATCTTATTTGTTGAACTTCATACCTTTTTATACCATAAACGTATTGTTTTTAATCAGGTGAATATTATCACCACTCAGGTTGAAAGAAATTACGAAAATTTATTCAGTAAAGTGAAATGATAAGATGTCGTTTTATCACTTAGAATACAGATTGGAAAACACTCTACGATAATAAAACAAACAGTACCATGTAAAAACTACAAATATTAGTTATAATAAATGTATAGAAAAGTATACAAAGACAAAATAAGACTCGGTTTAGCAGTTTATTTGTCCAAGTAACACAAGAGTATGATAACAGAGGACAAAAAGCAAAACGGAAGTAATCATAAAAAAGTAAAGGTAGAAAACTAGAAGAAAAAGGTGAAAGAAACGACTGAAGATAAAGATGCAGATAGTAAATAGGGAGCTAAATACAACTTGTAATTGAAGGACAGTAATCGAGACAAGTTTAACCTAAGCTAGTAGACTTCACTGTAGAAATCAGTCAACAAGTTAACAGCGTGATAAACGAATAATAATAATATGTAAAGAATTTTTGCACTGGCATCACATCGGATAAGCACATGAGAATCTTCCTATTCTAATCTAGCTACGAGAGGAAGCATAGGCATATAGTGCTCATGTATGAGTGGAGTGTAACATATTCCTCTCATACGAAGTAAACGCGGATTTTTTCTAACTTCCTGTAATCATCATAATGTGATCCATATATATGGTATAGAACTTATCCCTGTATAAGACTATGAGTTCCAATTAATATGTGGGTGTTTATACCCGCCTTTTTATACTAAATTAAATAAACGGAATGGGATCGGAAGCTACTGAATTAGAATCATCTCAAAATAATGAGTGATTGCATATCAATAATCTTTACATGTGTTTTTCGATAGCTGCATCTCAAGGATCTAAAATAAAAATACACTGTACTGTAGTACAGTTGTGTAGCATCACAAGAAGCCCATGGATATTCCCTTAAAGTCACCCGTGGTAACGTTTCATGTATCATATAATCACTAAGGGCAAAAATTCCATTCCTTATAGATAATAGTGACTAGCTAAGTTTTGACATTTTTCGTTTGAAAGATACAAATTATACGTTAAGCATACTGTCTTTAATAACTATAACATCTCTGTGGTCTTCAGTGTTGACACTATCTTCAACCAACAAAGTCGCATTATCTCAGAAAGTTACATCAATCTGTTAGGCAACAGAATACAATGGTAGAACTTTAGAACAATTTGAAGGAGCGAAAATCCCCTATATTATTATAGTTGTATCATAAAGATTTCTAATGCGCCTAATCATCATAAACTGATCACAATTTAAAAGTAGCTAACTGACTGAGGAATTAGCATATCTATGCTTTAGCATCCAAAATTGCAGCATATCTCAACAGGACAAATCAATAAACAAATTAAAAGTGAAAGCAAAATGAAACAGAACGAAAGAGGTCAGAAAATGTAGTGAGACTGAATTTTCGAGATAAACTGCCAACTAAGAGTTTAGTTCTTCGAAACTGATTTATACAACCTAAAATAATACTACCTAAATTCTGATAAACGGGCCTTCATATACACATTATATAATAGATTATTGATTCACCTTAGCTCTAAAAATGTCGTAAGACAGAAAACAATACAGTTTATATAAAATCTCCGATAATTAGAAAAACAAAATAATTACACACAGGATAAGCAGATGACCTATATAATGCAACGCGACTTTTAATCAGATTGACAAAATATTCATGTACGAAGGTATGATGACTGAAGTTATAAACAAAACTCAAATGAAAGCAGAACTCAAACCCAGTGGTTGTAAATTCAAATCTTCCTACAATCTATGTACATATACAATTTCAAATAAAACAAATATTCACTTAAAAGTCAGAGAAGCAATATATTTCTAATAAAATCATTTGGAAAATGATTTTATTACGGTAGTTAAAATGGGCTGTTGTACTTTAAGAGGATTCAATGAGTAGTCCTTCAAGCTTTACGCCGATGTTTCGTTTATCCTTTTGGATATGTACAATAAACAAACAGCAGAATTTGAAAATTCATACAAACAGTAAAGATGAATGTTGTAGTTTTTAGTCGAATCGATAAAAACAGGTTAGTAATCGAGTAAATAAGTATCTTGCATACTGTCACTGTAAGGGGGTATATATATATATATATATATATATATATATAAACGACTTCAAATAAGTGGGTAAGCCTTAAATTATGTCATATAACAATATATTTATAAATCATTTGATAAAAATTTTAAAGGAAATTGCTCCATTCATTTGACATCATAACTACCAATAATAACAGTAGAGCGAAAGCAAGCTAGGAATAGTAAAAGGACAAAAGAAGCGGACAATCCGATGTACGACTAGTAACATTATTTTGAAAGCGAAAAAACTCAAAAGTGACATCAGCGACTGAGTATAAACTTGCTGGCATACTTAACAAACAATGCACTTCACCTGTGTTACAGTAGTAACAATGCTAATAAGCTTATCAAATAACAATTGACGAATTCATATAAATAATTGGAGGACTGGAAATAATTTTTTAATGTTACCAAGTTACGATGTAAGAAAAAAAATTAAGGACAGTCTACATGAAATCATTCTACACAAATCAGTATTCTCGTACATTTTAAGAGATGCTACATTGGTACCACGGAGCTTTTTGTTCATTAAGAATTTCTTTAGTTTTACGTTGAAGTAATGTTGTTTCGTTAGCAAAATTATATTCAAGATCGTCGTTTAGTGTAAAGGAAACAGACGATAGACTAACTGACATAACTGAACCCTCTTCACTATCATATCCACTTATGAACCACAATGTTAGTAACAATAATATTGATCAGAATAATGACGGCGATAATAATGAAAATAATAGTAACGCAATGTGCAAACGCTTTACTCACCGTCACCTTCTATATTTGTTACTTCTCTACCATTTACTTTAATAAGCAGGTCGCAGAGAAATGGAGATAAACCCCGATCAATGACTAGATCATTTAGGAACTAAAATACAACAAAAAAGAAAAGCATTCAAACAACAGATAGTCACAGTAAATACAATGATATACTAGTAAATTACGCCGATTCATGCAGTAGACGCTATGGAAGTATATAATTAACTATTCAAATGTAATAATATCTCAGCAGAAAAAAAACTTTTAAGAAAGAATGGTAAGATCAAGTCAAATGATAGGAGGATCCTCTTCTAAATACATTCATGTAAATGACAAGATAAATATGTTTCGTCCTAGTTTGAGACTCATCACCAGTATGCACCCACCGGGATTCAAATCCCAAGGCCTCCTAGTTACAAGGCGACCTCATAGACCGTTCAGCCACTGGGACACAACTCAATGGCCCATGAATTCTAACTCCTACCAATTCGCAAGTTCACGCGACCACCAGCCAATGTCATCGGCGAGCATCTGTTCTCACTTCCAACAGGATGGACCCCACTATTCATGACTCACTAGAACTGCAGGAAACCCTGTCCTGTAGCCGGTCATTAGTGAGCATCAGATTAATTTCCAAGAGTTGGTTTGTATGGATTCGATTTGTTTTTCAAGCTTGACCACGGATTGATATCATTTACAGAACCAATGAAAACCAGGGAGTACTGGACACAGTGGTTAGGACTCTCGCCGACCATGCACATAGTCCGGGGTTCGATCCCCTGCCGACGCACACCCGATATCTATGGTCGGCCTGCAAAATATGGGCTACCGATATCCATGCTGAAAATTCCATACTTGTACTGAAAATACGGTGTGGTATGAAGCTGTAATCAAAATAAAAAATTAAAAAATAAAAATAAAATATCTCGTTCTAGTTTGGGAGTCATCAGCAGTACGCATCCTCCAGGGTTCGAAACTATCCTGTCGGGAGTCAAAACAAATGCTCATCGATGACATTGGATGGTAGTCGCGCTAAACCCACGAATTTTTAGAAATTAGAATTTATGGGCCATTGGATGGGGTCCCGGTGGCTTAATTGTCCACGAGCTCGCCTTGTAACCAGAAGGTCCTGGGTTCGAACCCCGGTAGGTGCGTACTGATGATGGATTCCAAACTAGGACGAAACAACTGTTCAGTACTCCATGGTTTTAAATGTTTCCCTAAGTGATATCAATCCATGGTCAAACTTGAAAAACAAATCAAATTCCTACAAACCACCTCTTGAAGGTTAAAATTACATGTTCATATCATTCACCTAAATATAAATATGCAAACAAAAGTGTAGTGATAAAAAGTTGCAAAAATTAAGTATTTCGAGGGCTATTCAAATCATACTATAAGTTGAGCACATTGAAAGGTTTTGACAACGAAACAGTATAACTATTGTTGTGATAATAGGCACGCAATACATATTGTCCAAACTATTCACTTTCTATTTTATGCAATCATTTACATCATCCATTCTCCCAGAAATTTGGTTTTCTGTGCTTAGAGACCCTCTCCATACTTCAGCACAATTAAGTGATAAAGCTACAAATTGTTTTAAAACCATCCCGTTTAGTCCATGCACACACCATGAAAAATAAAATAAAATCAATCACTTTATCTTAAATAACCTTTCGGAAATTAGTACCCCGTAAATCTCATGAGCTGCAAAAGCTGTAGAAATGAGCATCAAACAAACCAAATTATATGTACTCAACAACAGAAACAACTTCAACTACCATAACAACCTTGATTTACTTTACAACTAACTACCACCTACGCAACAGATTATGTGACATTTTAACTACGACTCTTCACACTGTTCATATGCCACCACAAAATTGTACACTTACCAACGTTTTTATATTTAATATCTATATGAATTACAGTTCTTTCGACCTTTTTAATTAATTAATGAATCCTCATGACTTACATAATCGTGTACATGAAATAAAATCACGTATTCCACCTCCTTTACACAATCTTATTTTGTTATTTCAATATTTATTTGTCAAAACTTCATTATTGAACTAAACATAATTCACTTCAACTTTGCTAATTACACAAATTTATCCTGAATAAATTTGTTTAAAAAGGCTTAATTTGTAACGTCAGATGTCACAAAAGTTATAGCAATACCTACATGTTTATTGAAAACTATCCAAGGTATATTCGAGTTTAACATTTTAATTCACCATACAAATATCTTTAAGAAAATATTTTTATTACTTGGCGTAAAATATTCACTTTTTCTAAAAGTAACCCGTTGTTGGTTTTATATATACTGTGTGTATGACAATACCAAGATATTTTTTAACCAAGGAAACGCTAGATGACGCCGAACTTACTGACCTTTTATGGTCCAAAGATGAATCTTTTTAAACGTCAAATAAATAGAAACCATAAACAAATACTACATCTGTGTGTCTATTTTATCATAAAAAACAGATTAATCTACTGGCTGCACTACACTATTTGATTTCATTCAGAACAAGGAAAACTGGTAGAACAACTTAAGCGATGAAATGACAGTATCTGTTCACTTCTCGTTTGACCGACTGACCGGTTCCAACGTAGAACTTTGCACAGATGTGCGGCAGTTCGAGTTGCCACACTCCCTCCATGTAGCACACAAAACAAGGTCGGTCGGTCGGTCGGTTTTCGACATAGAACTTTGCACATATGTGCGGCAGTTCAAGTCGCCACAATCTATGTAGCACGCAAAGCAAGAGAAGGAAGTAGAAGAAATGCATAATATAGACAGTAAACAGAGGTGTGAGACAAAGGAATAGTAATAACGGAGAACAAAAGTTTAATTGGAAATCATAAGTCACAAGGAGTGGATGCATCTGCGCCAGCCATTGAGAACGATTTTGAGCCATGTCACCAATTGTTTCCAACCATTGGTTTTTACCATCCCGAGGGCCCCAACCAGGAAGTCTACATCTTCCTACGTGGCTTAGATTAACTGTTGTGGATTTCATTGATTGGTGCCATGTTTTGGTTTGACCGCCGCTAGCTCTTTTCCAGCCTGGCCCTATATCAGCTAACATTGCCCGTCGAGGAAGGCGATGACTAGGCATACGTAGCACATGTCCTAACCATCTCAGTCGAAGTGATTTCACAGTTTCGTCGATTGATTTCCCCGCCTTACCTAGCACTCGACGCCTAACCTCAATATTGCTCACCTTATTATACCACTTCACGCGGGAGATAGAACGCAGACACCTATGATCGAAGACAGCTAGTCTTTTCATGTCGTCTGCTCTCAATGGCCAGGTCTCACAACCATAAAGGAGGACACAAAACAAGAGAAGAGAGTAAACAGAGGTTCAAAAGAGAGATAATAAACAGATATAATAGGCAAAAAGAATAGTAATATGGAAGAACAACGGAATTTTACTGGATATTATAAATCACAAAGAGTGAATGCATCTGCGCCACTGAGAACGATTTTGAGGCATATCACTGATTGTCTCCAACCACTGGCTTTTACCATCTTGAGGACACTAACCAGGAAGTCTACACCTCCCTACGTGGCTTAAACTAACTGTCATGGATTTCATTGGCTGATACCATGTTTTCGTTTGGCCACAAATAGCTGTTTTCCAACCTCGTTAAGTTGAGACGAGAACAGCTTGCCTTACAGTGAAATTGATAAACAGATAGAAGTAACTCAATTACAGTACCACCTTCCGCCTCTAATTCTCTCACTATTCAAGTGTTTTTTTAACTTTTTTCAGCAGTAGACAGCAATGAATATATTGGCAAATTCAAAAGGCAAGACAGTAAACTCATATTATAAGAAGAAATAAAATACCATTGCAACCATAACAGAGAGAAAAGTATGTGTTTATGGAAGCAAATACGTAGGTCGTACAGAAAGGCGGTTGTCTACTTCCATGATGAAGCATTTGCCCAAATGGTCCAAAAGGCTGAAGTCAAGGTAACAAAAAGTTTAATAACAAAGCATCTCATAGACCACGCACATGATATTGACGCTGTTAAGTCATTCATTGTTGTCAGCAGACAGAGTTTATAAACCTCATCTCTATGTATAAAAGGAAACAGTGGTCACTATGAATTTACCATGATATTATCTTTTACTTATTAGTATTAATATTTTATTCCATCTTTTATTGATATTCTTGACTCATTTAAAACTCTTTTGTCAGTATCATTATCTCAACTTGTTTAACAATTATTATTATTACTATTCCCTTGGATTCTGAGTGGAACATAGGGCTTCAACAATACATCTCCACTTCGTCTTATTTGGTGCTGTCGTCTTCATCTGGGTCCACGATTGCCTATAATCTCTCATCTCCTCTTCAACAAACGACCTACTACATGTCAATCTCGCACGGAAGACCCACTCGTCACTTTCTATTGGGATTCCACTCGAGTGATGGCCTGCATTGCGCGCGATTTCATTCAAGGTCTCCTCAGTGTATGCCCGATCCATCTCCATTTCCTCCTACATATTTGTTGAGCAATCGGCTTTTGGTTGATTTGTACCCACAGTTTCTTGTTACCTATTCTTTGTGGCTATTTGATCTTGAGTATGGAATGAAGGAAGCTGTTAATAAAAGTCTGCAGTGGCTTGTTGGAAATCCTTTTCGTGACACGCAGTACGAGTTTCTGACCCGTATAGAAGTGGGTGACTTCACATTTGTGTTGAAAATACCAGTCTTGTTCCTTATGCTGAGTGCAAAAGATTTATAAACTGGTTTCAGGTTGACGAAGGTGTATCTTGCTTTTCCGATCCTGACTTTGACATCTTCGTCCGTTCCGCTTGTAGTTAAAACGATGCTTCCTAGCCGGATAAATGAAGGGGGTGACCTCTGTTAAATCTCTCCCGCTCATGGTGATTGGTGCTGGTTGTTGTTGTTGGTTGGTTATCTTCATCACCTCAGTCTTCTCTATGTTCACCTGGAGTCCTATCTTCGCTGCCTTCTCAGCCATTTTGTTGGTTTTGGCTTGCAAGTCAAGTTTGTGTGACATTAGACATATATCATCTGCGAAATCCAGATCTCCTTGAGTCTTCTTATCGGTTGTCCACCGTATTCCTGGCTCGTCACCCCCAGCAGTCTGACGCATAATCCAGTCCACCACAATTAAGAATATCATCAGTGATAGTAGGCAGCCTTGTCTTACTCCTGTATTCACTTCAAGGATAGGCTTCGCTGGTTTCTCTGTTGTGGATCACCTGACACGTGCCACTGTTATATAGCCAGCTGTTGAGTGAGGTTGATAAAGATTTGGGGCACTCCATTGTGTTGAAGTAGTTACCGAAATACTTCTCGGTCAACGCTGACGAAGGCCTTTCCGAAATCGACGAAATTAAGGGAGAAGTTTGACTGCCACTCTATGCTTTGTTCGATAACGACGCGTAGAGCTACAATTTGATCAGCACATGATTTGCCTTTCTTGAATCCAGTTTGTTCCGGGCGGAGTTCTGTATCTAGTGCATCCTTTATTCTCTCCAGGAAGATGCGACTTAGTATTTTAGTTGGCGTGGACAACAGCATTATTCCACGCCAGTTCTTACACAGGCCTAGGTCGCCCTTCTTTTTCAGTTTGACGAGGTAGCCCTTCTTCCAATCATTAGGCAACTTTCCTTCTTTCCAAACTTTTTGCAGTAATGGAGTGAGCATATCTGCCGCAGTCTCTGGGTCCTTTTTCAGTGACTCGGTGTGGGGAATGCCGTCTGGTCCTCCTGTCTTCCCGGACTTCAGTAGCTTGATCGCATTCAGGATTTCTTCCTTCGATGGAGGAGTGGTGTCCACTAGCATTTCCATGTGTGCTGTTGGTGGTATTTCCGGGCGAGTTGCAGGTAATGGTCGATTCAAGAGTCCTTTGAATTGATCAGCCTATTGTTTTATTTGTTTCTCCTCCTTGGTAATTAGGTTCCCTTGAACATCTTTTATAGGTTTTACAATAATAACTATTTTACGAGTTTGACCATGGATTGATATCATTTAGAGGACCATTGAAAACCTGGGAGTACTGGACAGCTGTTTCATCCTAGTTTGAGAATCATAATAATAGTTATTATTAACTTTGCAGTTTGTTTATTACAGTGATGTGACTGAACCATAATCCATTGTTTTCTTAATCTTAATCTCTCATATGTCTTTTATCTGACCCTGACTTGTAGAACATTCCCATCTGTCGTTTTGCATGTTTGATTTATTGTAGTTTATTTACATATCAGTTATACATTGCTCAGTGTATTTCCAATAATATATACATATATATATATATATATCGCGCTTTATTAATTCATAATGTATCATGATTGTCCTCAACGTTTGTAATATAAGTATGATGATGCAAAAGGTTGTATGATCAAGTAATGAAGAGATGGAAGAACGGTATAATCATGAAAGATAGCAGCTTACTGAAGGCCTGTACGATATACCGGAAAAAGCTATTCCAACACAATACAAAGACGAAAACATAAGAAGTGATATATAGAGATGCAAAACCTAGTTAGCAGTTTTACAAGAATACTACTAAGAAATTATAACAGTTTGTCCCTTTAGTAAACTTGGATAACTTTATTAAAAGTTGGAGTTTATGGGAAAATTGTTATGTATTTGCGCTTAGCATCAGAAATGTCTATGTGAAATTATGTACGAATAAAGTATGGAAGATTCGACTGTAATTTAGAAGATCACATAGATTTATAAAATGATCTTGGGAATGTATGTTGTCCTTCTTCCTTTTTCTTTCTTACATAATTTTAATTTGCGATCAGGTGTGTGGTCAGATTGTTCGAAACGTATAGCACAAATATTTTTCAGACAGTATTAATAGCTTATAAATTAAAAGCCCATGTTAAGTACTTACATGATATTCAGTGTCTGGTGAACTGGATCGTAAAGAAATATCAGAATTACTGGATTCCTCTGATTGTTTTCGACTACAATAACCTTCCACATCTTGATGCGCACTGTCATTGTGGTTATTGATACTATTTCGAATAACTTGACAACAAAGTCGAGCTCGTAATACGCAATAAGATGAACCTGCATTATCCATATAAACACACTTGATGATACGAAATACGAAACAAAATTTTGTAACAATTATAAAACTTATTTTTGTTGACAAACAAGAAACTATCATTTCAGTAATACTGCATAATCGCAGGTTTTAACTAAACAAAACTTATATACCTTAATTCTCTTATTAAATCCTTCTGCACCAGCCCTTAGTAAGAAGCTGGTCATCAAACTGTCAATAAGTCAATTACCAAATTAGCCATTTCCCTTTAAAACATTATCGGGTTGCTAATTAGTCATTAAGTCACACGTAGGTCAAGTAGCTTTTTATTTGGTGAGGAAAAACCTAGAAAAACATAAATGTATGCAGAGTTCTTAAGGAAATACCTCATTATAAGCAAATATAAAAGTCGATATTTCCAAATCTCTGACAATGGTAAACTGACTTTACATATATTTCCGTTTGTTGCTCCGTCACCCAGTTATAAAAGCTGGTAAACTGAAAAAATTGACTCCAAGTCATAAGGCTATACTCTCTGACCAACTGCGTAGAAATACTAAGACGGCGATTTTTTGAATCTGTTCTGAGCACGCTGACTGGAATCAAAATCGTCATGACTAATCCAGAGAGACTAACACTATCGAAATCACTCACTTGGGCTACAAATATTTGCAGCCATCTACCAATGAAAAAATGATGCCCATGTTTAACTAATCCAGAAAGTGGCCTTAGTGAAGCTAAAAGTAACGCCAATAATTTTTTTTATCGATTTAAAGAAAACTGAAAAAATAACATCAAAAATAAGGAGGTGCATTAGTTTATCCAGTGACTGTTATAACGATTTGCAATTATATTATATAATGATGGAGAAAAAACTTTTGATCACATAGTTGTTCCAATGCAATCAACTTCACCTGCTTAACGCATATGTTACTTGTGTAAGGTTAAATACCATAAACCCAGGTAAACGTTTGGGACTGATTTATATAAATGACTGATAACCGCAAGTATAATTTTCTCACTTGACCATAACTTTGCTTACTAAACGTCACGTTGAAAATTACTGGCTATTAGTAGCCTATGCTGCTAAGCCCATGTATGGCCTACCACACTGTATTAGATATTAGCAAAACCCATTATCAACTCTTTCCAATTTATTTTCCATGAATATAGTACATACAAATCTGCTACAACACAAATTAAATTTAAAAATATTCAGTAAGACCGCTGGTATCAAAAAGTCAATGAAATTGCTAATGGTTAAATGACTGTAACATTGATATAAGAATAAAACTTGTGCACTGTGGTAGAGTGTAATTCCATTATGGGTAAATTTTGTTTTGATAGTCTCACATTGTTATACAGTAATGTTTACTGATGACGTTTCGAGCACAATTTATTGCTCATAATCATATCAAGGGTAAATGACTGTAACTTTTGAATGGTAAAATATAGAAACACGATTAAAGGAAAGAAGGGGAATTTTTAACAATTGTAACAGAAAAATACTGTCATGGTATTTTCTCTTACATGAACTTATCTGTCACAAAGAAGCTGTTTGATTGCACACCTGTTTCCTACAAACCCACTTTTAACACTAGAAAATAATGGACACTGGATTCTAAAGGTTAAAAGTGTTCGTAGCCGTTTCAAAAAGCCATATCACTCTTTGAAACCAACCATCATCCAGTAAGTATAAAGGAATTACAACCAATTCTTACACTGTATCCACAAGTATGCATTGTAACGACTGGAAGTTTAATGTGATAGCAAAGGAAGTTGATAACAACGTCACTTAGGGAATATTTTATTCCTCAACGGTTGTCACTTTCAAAAGAATGGTAACATTTCATGTTAATCAAGTATTCTGTTTTTATTTGCTGTAAGCAGAAGATGAATTTCATCCTAGCTTCACTGACTTTTGTCTCAAAGCAGACGACAAAATTCCCAGTATAACGGCCTCAATACTTACAACTATAAAGAGTATTCGTCAAAATACTTCAATTCACCGATTTCCACAAATATCTGTTAATTTGATCATCCTAGGTTTTGCCACGGTACACTAATACATATTCCTTTCGACTGGTTAATGTTTTAATATGAAATCGGTCACCTTCAGTGGTTGCAGCTTTACGGAAAAGCGAAGTAAACTGCCTACCATAATAATATTTATTAATGACAGCTTGACTTGACTTCCAGTTAAATGGAGGAGGTAGGACTGTATAGGTAAACATGGTGTATAAGAGTTATGATAATATCTAAGACAGAAAACAACAACCAGCATGTTTGTTGAAAGACAGTGATGCATTCAGAATAAACCCAAAGATATGAAATTAATTTATAACGAATTCAATTTACTAATAAACCGTAGAAATGTTTCTACATCTTGTATATTTCCAAAACGAAATAAAATATCCATTTTCTGGCAAACCGACTGATGTTGAAAACTAAAAATGAGTGAAAATATCCTTGAGCCATATAAAGTGAATATATTTTGTTACGTTAATGATAGCCAATTCTCCATAGTAATAAAAACAGCCCCTTACCTTCAAGAACAGTTTTCATTTGTATCCTGAAATTGTTAAAAGGGAATGGAGTTAAAAACCCCAAAGTGCCAAGACGAAACGCAATTACAGGTGGAGCAATCCCCTAAATAATTGAAAAGATAACAAAAATACTAAAGTGAACACCACACGTATTCGACTAAATCTGAATCACACTAAATATAAACAACAATTTATAGTGACAATTTCGCATATTATTTGCGTACTTATTTTGTGAATTATCTGGATTACTCACGGAATCAAATACTAGAGATGTTTATAGTAAACGTGCAATCAACAGTTAGCACTAGACTGTTTCCCTACCAACGCTTATTCGAGAATTTTTATTTTATTTTAGATGAAAAACGGTGAATAAATAATGCCACTCAAATAAAATTAATACTTAGTTGACATAATGCCTATTAAAGGCTTCAAAATTATGATAGATTTCCATAAATTTGACATCTTTGGGTCACCGAATTTTTCGATGATGCACATTTCATTTTTTTTCACGGAGGCCAGCTGACTTACAATGAGTTCCTACGTATATCTTTATACCCTGAGTTTGAGCTCGTTATCAATTTATTAGTAGCATCTAGTGTCTACGATATAAATGTACCTGTGTTATGGTTTATCTGTACAGGTTGCCTCCTACAAAAATAAAATACGAGTAAAAAGTGAATTCAAAAATGAAACCAAAATGTTAAACCTGGCACAACTGCTCCTAAAAAACTAAATTTTGTAACTCAGAATGGCTGTGAATATACGCTGCTCTTGAAAGACAGCTTGATAACATACAACTACTGGAACCATTTTCATTACTGTTAATTTCAGATGATCATCTTCTTATCTGTTCAATAATGACGATTTATGCTACAGACAAAGTTCTCAAGATGAAACTAACGTATATACACGATATCACATAACTTTTCTTTTTTTATTAGTATCGCTCATGAGAAAAACGGATATCTAGTGATAAAGATGCAAATCATAGCGGTTGTGAGGCGAATTTGTAAACTCTGACGTCCAAGGACTTGTTTGCACTAGTTATGAAAGCTGAAAGCATAGTTTATGCATATTCGGCATCATGTTTTCAACCGAAAATTATGCAACTATGCTTTCCAACATAGATATAATAGTATGTTTATTCAAAGGTAGTGAATAGTATACATAAGACAGCTGGCAGTGTTGGAAAGATAAGGTGTAATAACTGTAATCTGTCAAAAGCTTTTGCATACATACCAGAATTTCTTCTTAAAAACTATCTCGAAAATACACAAAATATTACTCATGATTGTCTTACCGAAAAGGGATACAAGTTAGGAGGCTTTGTTTATAACTTAGGTAACTGTTACAGTACATTTCGGACAACTCAATATACTACCAAACACTTACACTCATAAATTATGAAAGCTATAATTTTCAGATGATGGTAATAGCGTTGCTTGGATATTTTGATATGATTATTCCCCAAATCTTACATTCAAAAACCTGTAATGTACTTCATCGAACAAATATTAGCACACATGAAAATAAATGTAATGAAATCTAAGAGATGGATTAAATGACTGTATTTATATTAAAGTATTAGCAGAGTCGCAGTTATAATGTTTTCAGAAATATTGAAACCAAAATATGGGAAACCAAAGAGAACACTGAGTTGCAGGGACAAGTAAATTTGTTTGAGGTTTATATACCTGTTTAAAAGTACTGAAACTTTGTACTTGGTATTAGTGAGCGTAAAAGCCGCCTAACTTACAAAGAGAGTAAAGCAATACCAAAAATGAAAATTCAGAAGTGAGTTACAAATATTTGAAATCCTAGATGAATGATTAAATGACATACTTGAAACATTGATGCAATTTGTAAAAGAGTTCCATCACCTCCAAGACAAACAATTAGATCTATTTTGCTGTGTACAGTGTGGTCGAAGACTCCAATTGAACTTTTAGTGTTGATTTTAAAAGAACATCCTGTTGCATCATTACGGAATTCGTACATAACTCGTTCACCAGTAACATATGGGGATTCACCTTTTCCCAAGTTTACGTAATGCTGAACAATTGGATAGAACAGGTCATCGACTTTTAGTTCGTCAAGTGTAGATGATTCCAGATATATAGTTAGGTCCCATTTCTACACAGAACCGAAGATGACAAACACAAATGCAGTATTCTGATAAAATGTGTTGACTTCCTTTATTTTTTTATTTTTATTTATTTTAAAAAAATTATTTATTTTAAAAATAAAAAGCATTTATGACCAAGCAAGATAAACACATGTATTCGAAAATCTTAGTATCTAGTGAACTATGCTTCAAAAGTTAAGTCATTAAGCTATAAGGGAAATATTCCAAGGACTTTGAGAACTAGGAAACCAAGGCAAAGTATACTGAGATGCGATAAGTTCAATATGCACAAACTGTTGTGAATTATGACGCTTATGAATTGAAAGACTGGCAGAAGTTAAACGGTTCTGACCACAGATCTATAAAAAATCATGAACTTCTGCAGTTAGTCAGAAATCATTTCTGATACTGAGTTAAAGTATAGTCTAGCTGAAATGAAATAACTAGGTATACCAACTGTCGTGAACACGAAGATTGGTAGGACTGATGTACATGAATAACGATTACCTGCCTGAGCAATTCATGTCACAAAATGGATGAAAAAATTCAATGTACTCAAATAAATAAGTTACTTCAAAACATCTAAGGATATCAACTTAAAACAAGTGGGGTTTGGTGGATTTTGTTTTATGAACAACAAAACGATCTAATAGCTGATTGTGAGCTTTATAAGAAAAGTGACGCGTGGGAATTAACTCCCTGTGGTCTAACAAACAATTGATGACTAAGTATTCTGAGTGTCATGTTCATCGAACTGTGTGGTTGGAAAAAATACGGGAGAACTCAAGACACTTTTGACAGATTTCAGAAATTTCAAGCTTACTTTCATTGAGTCAAAAGTTTTGAGGATTACTTCGAAAATACCGGTAATATAGAATGTGATTTACTATCACACAATAAAATATAAAGAAACATATGGCTTCAGCGCGATTTCTGAAACTTCGGATGTACTGAATATACTTTAGGCAGTGTCTGAAGAGTTAGGTTTATTGCAGTTGTCTAAAGTTTCGAAATGCTTCTGTTTCCCAACTAAAGCTGATGTTAAGAAACCAAGCAAAATCTAGAATGAAATCTTACGATTTCTTCGGGTGCACTGCCGACACTGAGCAATACTGAACACTGAATGGTTAACCAGTAAGCCTAGGGATGCTGTCCAAAGTGTCTGGAAGCCAAGATTACAGTAATTCCGGAATAGTACTATTGAGACTGCTGGGAAAAAGTGGCTAAAGTGACAAGATTTTTGGCAATACCTCTATTAGTTGAGTTTCAATCGCTATTTTTCAGCACTGCAAGCATGCCTGCATTAGTTACGCTCAGAAAATATAAATCAGCATATACACCGTCTATTTAGCAATAGACCGTATTATCTACGCATGGTTTAGAATTCACCCAAAATAACTGTAAACTTACATCACCATGGCCCCAAGTTTATTGTAATGCTGAATTAAATCTCACTAATTCTGAAATAATTCTAACATTCCGTAGTGAGTAAATTCTGAATCTGTTCTGAAATGGATTCTTTAATTGCATAGACTAGAACTCAGTATTGGTTTTCATCATGAATGGCACTAATTCAGAAACCTGTGCTTTTCCTAGGCATTTTCAGAAGTAGCTGAGAACCAGCTGGGTTTGCTAATAAGCTTTGTTTCGACCCTCTCAGCCCAGACTCAGCACTGAATGGCATTACTTCAGAACAAAAACACTTAGTTCAGTACATAATGGCGATTCTCAGCTTTATTTCAGCTGCAAATTCTATTTTTAAGTGTTTGTCATATTAATTAGGCGTTCAGTCCTCTTTTAAAGAACGACCAGCGTTATTTCAGTACAAAGTTGGTTCATTTTAGGTAGATAAAATATTCATCTCCAATAAAAAGGCATTATCGATACGGTTGAGCGTGAAACTGGCAACCCTACTCAGTAAAGAAAATACGACATACTGAAACTCCAGTTCTTCAAGCCTGTAAACCTGTTTCACTCGGAGAGCATAGTAATGAAGAAATAGTAATTTGGTATTTGAAACGACGGGTGCTCAGATGGAGTCCCCATCAGAATGCTGTTGCTAATTGAAGGTTTATGTACATCGGGCTAGCGAGTCATAAATGGGACGGAAAGTGATTCCTAAATTTCACCTTTAACCATCCCCAAGCTAACAACAATTCTAAACTTATTCTAACCTATTCTTCAATAATGCCTTTTTATGGTTAATGAAGATTCTATGTACCCACTATCTTCTGAAATAACGCTATAGCTTAATATATGTCCTGTGAGGGCTGGAACAACGCTGATAAGCAAACCCAGTGGGTTCTGATCTGCTCCTGAAAATGCCTAGAAAAAGAGCAGGGTGCTGCATTAGTGCTAGTCATGCTGAGTTCTAGTCTATGCAATTAAAGAATCCATTTCAGAACAGATTCAGAATTTACTCACTATAGAATATTAGAATTATTTCATAATTAGTGAGATTTAATTCAGCATTATAATAAGCTTGGGTATAATTAGTTTAGAATTATTGCAAGCTTGTCACCTATCCCCATATGGAGATGGTGCGCCCGAAGATATTTTTAAGTTGTTGAGGCACAAATAAACATTCAAAGAACCATTAAGATAATTATGGGCTTGTATCAAAAGATACTGGTCACGTAGAAATAGGAAGCTAACCTTCAATGTGTAGTTAATAAATGTTTTGAGACTTTCAATAACGTTTATATCACAAAACTTGTGAACAACCAATATACTTTTAATGCTCTCCTTCCATTTAACACAAGAATGATCTTGAGTGAAGTAAAACCTAAGCGCCATGTATGAATAATGTATGAAATTACTTGCAACTGCCATAAAGTATCGGATCGCACATCACAATAATTCAATCAATTGCTAACGTAAGGGCATTTAACAACCTTTATTTCAGCCAGTTTAAACGAAATAGTATCCAATATCCAATATCGTTTTCAGGAGCTAGTACAAACCAATTTGATTTCTTTGTGCTCGCCTCTTGATTGTGAAATAGAGGTTCCTGATCTTCGGTAAACGTCTGCGTAGCTCGTCCCGCCACTCGACTGCCGTAGCTTTGGTTGACTCCAAAAGGAGTAGTGCAGGAATTAATTATAAGTGGTTTGTAGTATGAGGTGTGTTAAGACTGTTACTACTGTGAATGGAGTTGATCCTTTCGCTAGTTGGTCCTTCGGTATGGTCGTCAATAGAAAAGAGATAATAATAATAATAGATATAACTAGTGAAGGTATTCAGATTAACAGACAGAAAAAGAATGAGAAAACGTAACAACAGTCAGTCAACCGGTATACATATATATATATATACCAGTAATAATGATAATGATAATAATAATAATAAGTGTAGTTAAAGCTGTCAGGAGAGTAAGACTGAAAAGAATGTGAAGAAGTAAAACGACCGGTTTAATTGTCTACCTTTGAATGGTATATGCGATTTTAAGGGGATAGGCCATTTGGATGAAGTCCTCGTGTCGCTGCATGGTTGTCCAGCCTTCGCTTAAAGGCGTCCACAGGTGGTGCCATAGCTACATCTGCCGGTAAGGAATTCCAGGGACGGCAAACCCGCAGGGAAAAGAAGTGGGAGCGCACCCGGGTCCTTGCCCTCTGATGAGCTATCCTTCTAGGATTTCCACGAGGGAGCCTATACCTACTCAATGGCAGAACACCTTTGTCTGGGTGATTCTGATCATTTGTTATTTTGTAGGCAGTGATTAAATCCCTCCTAAGACGACGGTAACTAAGTGTGAATAGGCCTAATTTCTTCAGCCTTTCATCATATGGTTTATTTCGGAGACCAACCACTCCTTTTGTTACCCATCGTTGGACTCTTTCCAAGAGGTTTGCGTCTCTTCTAAGCAGTGCGGGTGTGAGGATAATTATGCACTTCAAGGTGTGGTCTGAAGTATGTTTTGTACAACCTTAGAAACAGCTCAGGAGTAAGTGCAGCTAACTATCTATGTGTAAAGTGTATGGCCGCATATGCCCTTGCTACGTCCTCCGTGTAATTTACGCTTGTGTCCATTTTCTCCGTTAGAACTAGACCTAAGTCGCGTTCCGACGTTGTGCAGGACAAGCTTTCATTGCACAGGGTGTAACTTGCATTCTGCAGTCTACAGGTGCATAACTTCACTACTTTGCACCTTTTCAGGTTGAAAATCATGCCACTGGCTACCGCTCAGTCTTCCAGAAGCTTTACATCTGCCTGCAGTCTATCTGAGTCCTCCGGACACTTTATCGCTCTCCATATCTTCACATCACCAGAGTATAGAAGAGTCGGGCAGTTTAGACGGCATGGTAGATCATTGATAAAAATCAAGAACATCAGTGGTCCAAGGATAGAACCCTGCGACACTCCTGATGACGAGCTGTGCCAAAATGATCGGACTCGATTGACCTTGGTGCAAAATTGCCTTTCAGTTAGGCAGTCATTCAACCATGACAGAAGTGGTTTACCTAGACCTACCTGGCTTATTTTGTGTAGGAGAATGTCATGGTGAACAGTGTCAAATGCCTTCTCAAAGTCTAGAAAGATCACATGGACAGGAACATTCATATCCCAGCATGATGTCCAATCGTCCCAAGCTGATAATAAGTTAGTGACGCAGGATCTCCCTTTCCTGAAACCGTGCTGGGTGTATTTTAGACCTATCGAGATATTGCCTGATGTGATCATCAATAATACTTTCCAGTCTTTCGATACCACTGAGAGTAGAGCTACTGGTCCATAACAAGTGGCATTTTGCCTATCCCCACCCTTGAAGATCGGAGAAAGGATGCTTCTTTTCCATTCCTTTGGCAGTTTCCCCGATTCCATGGAGTGTTGGAACAAGTCGCATAAAGGCCTACAGAGAGCTTCGGCGCACTGTTTCAGAACACATGGTCTGATGTCATCACAACCTGGGGACTTCCCAGGTATGAGTCGCTGCAGCTTTCTCAGCACTATTGCAGGGTTTATTTTTAATAATAATAATGGCTATTTGGTCTTCCTCCTGTGAAATAGTCATGCCACCAATTTGGTCCGTGACGGTAATACCCACATTGCTGTTTAGCTGTTTGGCGAAGGCCAAACTAAATGTTTCAGCCATCTCCAGACTAGTGAGATATTGACCGTTTTGGCCTACTAAGGCGCATGCCCCCTGGTTGGTTGGTTTCCTTTCCGACATGAATCGGTACAAATTCTTCGGGTTTGCCAGGAGTTTTTGGCAAGGTTAGCCTGGAATGACCTCCTGTCCCTCCTGACTCTTGCATTGCACCGGTTCCGGAGTTCCAGGTATGCATCATGGTCGATCTGGCCTTTAGATACGCGCCACGTAAACCAAACCTTCCTCTTTGCTTGCAGAATACGCTGCGTGCCTCTCTTTAACCATGATGACTTTCTTTTGGGCTGTGTTGTCACTAAAGGGACAGTATCCGAGATCGCTGTATGAATAATCTTTTTTACCGCTTCCCAGTGTTCATCCACAGACAGCTCATCCCATGCTAAGGGCCAGTCTGCATCGGACAAGAGCCTCCGCATTTCAGCGTAGTCAGCCTTGCTGTAACACAGACATGGTTGCGTAGCGTCCCACTGCGAATGCTCACGGAGAACGAGGTTGAAACCTATGACTGCATGGTCACTACTTCCTAGAGGAGTCATTATCTGGACCATTTCGACAAGAAGTTGGTCACTAGTTAGAATGTAGTCTAGTTTTGATGACTTTCCACTAGGGCCCCACCTAGTGTCGTCTCCAACATTCTCAGTCAGTCCCGTGTCCCGAATAGCTTGCAGTAGATTTCGGCCGAATTTTCCCTTAGCATACCCCGAGCCAAGGTTCAGTGATGGGGCATTGAAATCTCCAGCAATGGTGATTTGGTCATAGCCCAAGTCTCGTATCCCTGTGATAGTGCTGAGCAGTAGCTGATTATGCTCTGCTCCACAGGTGGGAGATCGGTAGATGCCACCAAGTAAATGCTTGGTGTGGCCTACGGTGAAATGACGCCATATGGGGTCTGGGAGTTCAATAAGTGGTGGGTCCGTTGCGCGCACACATTTAAGTTGCCTATCAAAGTATATAGCAACTCCCCCTCCTTCCTCATTATCCCTGTCTCTCCTGACCAAAACCATATCACCTATACTGATTTCATTATCGGTGATAGTAGGAGTTAGCCATGTTTCGGTGAGAATGATCATTTTCAGTTGTAGGTATGCTTGGAGATTTCGGAGTTCACCTACTTTTCCTCTCAGCCCCCTCACATTGCTATATAGGCAGCTGACAGTGAGTCTTACAACCTCAGAGTGTTGTGGGGTAGTTAAAGTGGACCTATCTGCTGGTAGGGGACTTGATGTTGGGACTAGTTGGCCGATTTCGATGGAACCGGCCCGTTGTAGTTTTTCCATGGATTTAGGCAGGACACTTGGGTGACACAGACTGTTATTCTCAGAACTGCATCGCTCGAGTGTCACTGAAGCTTGGAGACGTATTAAAGCCTCCGTTTGCTGCCTACTTATGGCTTGGGGTCTGCTTTCGCGGCATCGGATGTGTCCTCCCAGTTTTCTCTTGATCTCGTACCACCGTTGAAGTGTTATGGCCAACTGCTCTGGGGAGTTGAATGTGACACTAAGCAGCTTTGGGGAGCTAATCAGTGTGAGATGAGCGTGGCGAGGTAGTCGGAAAATGGAGATTGCTCCAGAAGCACCAAGGGCCATCTGAGATGATGGCCATCTCCATTGCTGTACGTCATGCACGTGTTTTCCACAAGCAGTGCCCGTTTCCAGCTCTGGAACACCAAGTACCACCATTGAGGTAGAAGGCAGCAGTTCCGGTGACTCCCTCGCCATCTGTCTGGTAGCCCATGGTCTGTCTTGTCTCACCCTTATGTTAGAGCTTCTGTCGATGGCTAGCACCTGAGCCATCAATAGTACGTTTTCAGCCTCTTCGGCAGAGTCCAGTGTAACCCGTAATGGGGGTGACTTACCTTGAGGTGTGTGGACACCCCTGTACAGCCTGCACAATTTCACTGAACTAATATTCAGACCTAGTTTATTGCACAGGTTGGACCACTGTTCCTGATCAAACAGGGCCCGCTGTTCGAGCAAGCTGTCCTTGCTCACAGGTACGTTAAAGAGGATGAGCGAATTAGACCGATTAACCTCAGACTAAGGTTTGGCCTTTGGCTGCTTGTATTCCTTTGCAGCATCAGCAACTTTAGGCTTCATCGGGCTCTGGCCAGCCTTTATTGTGTTACCGAGCTTGCTTGTGGATGTAAGTGGCGCTTCTCTAATTCTATCTTTCCTTGATGTTTTGGGTCCAACCTTTTGAATCTTCACCTTGTGAAAATTGGCATTTTCAGTCAGTAGGACTGCAGTGTCCTTCTTACTGTCTGTGCCAAGTTTCGGCAATGTGATGTTAGCAGGTGGGGAGCTACATAAGGCCGTGTTGGGACACAAGGGCGGCGTGTTGTTTCTGCTAACCGCAGACACGCTCTGTGTGACTATGCCAGGGCGACAGAGTGGACAGATGTACCAAAACCACGGGCACGGGTTATTTCTCATAAACTCGTAGTATGATTTCGGTACCTCTTTGTCGCAACGGCAGTGCACCCACCGTTTGCAAAAATTGCATTCGAACGCTGAGTCAGCTTTAGAAACAATGATATTGCACGCCTGGCATTCGTCTCCCTTACTTGGTGACGCCTTCGAGGTCTTATGACGTCTTGAGCGTTTCCTTTTAGGTTTGTTGTACTTCACACATTGGCTTTCAGTTGGTGCAGGTGTAGTATCCTGTCCTACTAGTATTGCCTGCGCCGTTTCAGTACTAGACTGTGGCAGTGCAGGCATAGTATCAGGACAGACGAGTCCTACACT